CAGGACCTCACAGAGCCTCAGTGTATGCATGTATATTATAAATGTCCAAGAGGAAAGTAGATCTTGTTTTGTTTCCCAGATTTATTTGTCACAGAACCTGCCTCCTTTTTATGTAAGAAACATACCATAAAATATAGGTGTCTGTGAAGACCAAACAACCAAACCAAACCCTATATAGACAAATACATGAAATCATGATTCATAACACTGAATGAAACCCAGGAGTTCAAGTGTATTTCATATAGAGTCAATAGCACTTTTTAACTTACCATTAAATGATTTTTAAAATAATTAAGTAGCTAGAGGTTTTTACCATGCATATAAGCTCTAATTCCTGAAACATTTCTTATAGCATTAGTTTTGAAGCAAAGTTAAAATACAAAATCAGAACTCATCATAACCATCTGAATTCACCTGAGACCCAAATCTAATTACTACCTTATTGATCCCTCATGCAACCCTGTAATTTATACTTAGGAGACAATTTTCAATTTAAAATGCGGAGTCCATCAAAAGTGAAAGTACCGAATAAGTTTATCTTCATTTTAGATTTTATTTCTTCCAACTGCTTCCTTATATTTCAAAATTGAACTGTGCTGAAACTGTATTAAATTTCATGCAGTTCAGTATCATCATTTTCAACATTCTTTATAGACCCATATGTACATACTGCTCTGCCAAGGGAGACACAATATAAGCAAACATACCTACCCTTACACTTTCGGTAAAATAATGGATACAGATTAATTATATAAAGCCACTTGTGTCTAGGACTACACTTGGTACATGGTACTTGAATGAAAGGACTAAATTTATTAGCAAGCTTTTTCCTTATGTGTCACACATCGTCACATATAACAAATAAAGATAATTTATTTCTTAAACTTGAGATTCAGGATATCAACTACAGTCCCAGAGGAGGGTTAAGTATGATAAAGAAATGCTAGTTTTCACTCAAACTAAGTATTTTGATTGTATTTAGATAAACTGTGCTGGAAATTAAAATAAAAACTAACATACAGAAAACTGGGTTTGAGAATTTCCCAATGCCTTTCCCTCTTTTACTGTGCTATATTTTATACAAAACCCTACTACCTCTTCTTTAAGAACCTCTGTATTGATTCTAAAACTGTTATTGAAAAATGTATATTGCCAAGTTTATTTAAATTTCATACATTTGTACAAGTCTTTTGGGACTTTGAAATACATATAATTCAAAAAGCTGGCTTTTTTTCTTTTATGTGAACTATGAAAAACACATTAATCACAAAATAATACTACATTTCAAATATTTATACCCCTTCTAAAATGGGTAATTTGTATTTCTACTTTTATTTTATTTATTTATTTACTTTTTGATTGATTTCAGAGAGAACGGGAGAGAGATAGAAACATCAATGATGAGAGAGAATCATTGATTGGCTGCCTCCTGCACGCCCCCTACTGGGGATTGAGCCCGCCACCCAGGCATGTGCCCCTGACTGTAATCGAAGCAGGGACCCTTCAATCCGTAGGCCGACCCTCTGTCTGCTGAACTAAACCAGCTAGGGCATATTTCTATTTTTAAAAAGCTCTCTTTTTTATACAAGGTCAATTTCTTATACGGTCAAAATATAAATGTGAAGGAAAACAATAGTGTCACTTCCACTGCCTTACAACAAAATTTCTTCTCCAATGAATGTGACATTGCTTTTGGCCTAGAAACATTTTTTTATAGATACACTTTCCTTTCCCAAACCTCAAAACTTGCATGGATAGCATGCACATTTCATTAGTCCTTTATTTTACCTAAAAGAAAAGCACCACTGATCAATGTTAGCAAGGATAGATCCATGTAACAACTTGGAGAAAAGATAATTGTGCATTTAATTTGTCACCCCATTCCATCTACATGGCAGGTGGACTATAAAATTTAAACATTCACAGGGCACTGAATTTATATAAATTTTTTCTATATAAAAATAGTTTCCAGTCTCAATAAATCATACTTTCTTATGGAAAATTGCAGTGATTTGTTTTAGTGTGGCTTATAGTATCAGAATTATTTGGCTCAGTAAAAAATTTAAGTATAAGCTTGAGGAAAAAAAAACATGATTTGGTGAAACTGTAAAGTTGTAAATCAATTTCATTTATAACTATCTCTTTTGCTATATAAAAATATATATTAGCTCTGTATATAAGAATGTACATTAAGATGTGTGCAGCTTCTGTTGATGGTAATGCAGATTGGTGCAGCCACGGTGGAAAAACAATATTGAGTTACTGCAAAAAAACTGAAAATGGAACTGCTTTATGACCCAGTAATTCTACTTCTGGGTATATATCTGGAGAAACCCAAACACTAATTCAAAATAATATATGCTCCCCTACGCTCATTGCAGCATTATTTACAATAGTCAAGATTTGTGGGCAGCCTGAGTGTCCATTAGTAGATAAGTAGATAAAAAACCTCTGGTACATATATATATATATAAAGGAATGTTACTAAGCCATGAGAAAGAATGAAATCTTACCATTTGCAACCATGTGGATGAACCTGGAGGCTATCATGCTAAGTGAAATAAGTCAGTCCAAGAAAGACAAATGCCATATAATTTCACGTATATATGGAATTTAAAGAAGAAACAAACACACCAAAAGAAACCCATACGTACAGAGAACAGACTGATGATTGCCAAACGAGAGAGGTTTTGAGTGATAAAGGGATTAAAAAGTACAAATTGGTAGTTATAAAATAGTCATGAGGATGCAAAGTATAGCATAATGAATATAGTGAATAATATGGTTATAATTACATATGGTGTCAGGTGGCTGCTGAAAATATCAGGGGAACACTTTGGTAAAGTATATGATTGTCTAACCACTGAGCTGTACACCTGGAACTAATACAAAGTAATAATGAATGTAAACTGTAATTGAAAAATCAAAAAAGAAAATACAAAAAAAAATCAGCATTGGAAAACACATAAATGTAAGGTCAACGTGTTACTACAATTAATATTACAAATAATATTTCAAAATCTAAATAGCAAGCATTTTTAAAAACTAAATTGCTTCCAATGAAACAAGACATAGATGTAGTTCCACTTACATTTGTTCAGACGATTTTCAATACAAGTATTTTAAATTACTCGCTGACATGAAAAAGAAAGAATGTGAAGCTTCGTTAAACTAAATAAGTATAAAATCAAATGACTCAAATCATGGAAGCACCAAAATATATCCAGAACCAATCTTAAGCAGGTTGGGATAAAGGACAACTTTCAGGAGTATTGGACAATTCACACTGAGTCAGCACTGTTTCTATGTCCCGATGGATTTTAGCTAAAACAAATTCTGTGTGTCTGGCTGGTGTGTCTCAGTCGTTGAGTGTTGACCGATGAACCAGGATATTAGGGCACGCGCTAGGTTGCAGGCTCAATCCCCAGTGGGGGGCATGCAGGAGGCAACTGTTGTTGATTCTTTCTCATCATTGATGTTTCTCACTCTCCCTCTCTTTTCCTCTCTGAAATAAATAAAAATATTTTTAAAATGAATTCCGTGCTAAAACAAAATTAGGAAACAGTGTAAAGACAGCTATATGTCCTGAGGGGGTATAATTAAAGAAGAGGCAAAAGAATGAGGTGCATTCCTTCTCCCTTTACCCTATAGAGACTTTGGGATCTTTTGACCAACAGAGGGAGACAGTCCCCAACTATTCTACAACTTGGGCGACTTCACCCTGTGCTTCCTTTAGAAAACAAAGATGAAGACTCCCCTCCAACCATAAGGAGCAAGTTCTCGCATCACAACTCACATGTGGCAAGACTTTGAGGTAGCTGAAATTGAAGAATAACTCTTATTTGTCATTGGACGACATGACCACATAAATCAACTGTCCTAAGTTTCAAAATAGGTGAAAATTAAGAATTTCAGATAGTTGTAAACATTTCCCCATTTTGTTCAGTTCAAGCATGTGTATTTGCAAATGTGCATGTGTGTGTTTCTTAATCATTTATCTATCCTATTACTCAAAATTCCCTCAGTCCCTTCTCCAGAAAGTACATAGTTATATCAGTAGCTTCGAATATTTCAACTAATTAGCATAGCAACTAATTAGCACAGGCA